CATGCAGTGGTGTGATCTTGCAGGCTGGCCCCATGCAGTGGTGTGATCTTGCAGGCCACCTCCATGCAGTGGTGTGATCTTGCAGGCCAGCCCTTGCAGTGGTGTGATCTTGCAGGCAGGTCCCATGCAGTGGTGTGATTCTGCAGACCACGACCCACTTAGTGATATGAGTGGCTCCCTGTGGCTCCTACCGATGTTAACATTCTGTGTCCCTCTGTCCATCTCCGTCTCTAGTGATCTCTATCTCTATCTATCTCCAACTCTCACTGTCTCTGTTTCTGTTGTTCGGTCTCTATTTGTCCCTATCCTCTCTGGCCATGTCCCTGTCTCTCTACCTCTCTGTGTGTCTCTGGCCATCATCCCTCCCTGTCCCTGTCTCTGATCGGTCTCCTGCTCTCTTCTTTGCACTGTGCTGCGCTATGCGGTACTGATCACAGGTGCACCAGGGAGGGCCATGTTGAAGGAGGACCTCACATCTGGAACACTGTACTTTAAGTCAAATCCAATAGAACCCCACACCTGACTTTTCAGTGTTCAACAGTATAAATCACACACAAAGCAGAAGCATTCAAAGCTGTAAGAAGCTATAGGTTCATGGCTACATCCTCCATGTGGAACACAGTGCAAAGGTTTGTTTTGCTCCCAAGATGGTCAGAGACTACCATTGATGTTTGGAGAATGCTCAGGAGAGTGAGAAGCAGAGTTAATGCACGACCACGCTCTGTGCCCTGCTGCCGCTGTGTCCCTCAGGGCCTGTGCTGGTCATGCCACGCCCTGGTCCCCAATGAGCCGCCGCCCACAGCAGACGTCCCCCTGGCAGGTGAGCCAGCGCGGCCCCAGGGTGTGCGTCCTGTGCGGTGCAGCGCTGGACCGGGGGCTGGTCTGCCCAGACTTGGATGCTCTGAGCTCAGCAGTCACCAGCCCTCGGCCGCAGTACAGACAGCGCTGTATTCTCAGCCATGCCGTGGTGGGAACCTCCTGGGGCTGAGTGGTGGGAGAGACTGGGCACCCACAAATATCATGATATACACTCCGAAGAGACGAAATTAAAATGTCAGCAGCAAGACAGGTAAATAGCACAGCACTTGTATGAGACTTCTAATGACTTTGAGTAAAATTAAAACAAATGTTAAAATCTTTAAGAAACATTGGCAAACTCTTTTCTAAGTGGAATCCATGAGTTTGAACAGCAAAAGGTATTTTTTAATTTTTGAGTATGGAAAGGGGCCTGCTGACTTATCTGGACGTCCCCCCCCTCCAACGCCCTCGTCTCTGGACGTCCCCCCCAACGCCCTCGTCTCTGGACGTCCCCCCCTCCAACGCCCTCGTCTCTGGACGTCCCCCCCAACGCCCTCATCTCTGGACGTCCCCCCCCAACGCCCTCGTCTCTGGACGTCCCCACCAGCGCCCTCCTCTCTTGGGGTAGAGGCCACACCTCCCTGTCAGGAGCTGACCATTCAGTCCATGCCAACTTTTCAAGGCCAGACAAAGGGCAGCAACCTCCTACCTCATCTTCCAGGTGGACACAGATTGCACAGCTGCACACAACTCTCCTGTGCCATTTGCTATCTCTGTGGCAGAAGCTGGGTCACTAGGCTCCAAGGAAGCCCTAAGTTTGTGGCTTCAGGGTGACAGAGCACTGGCAAGACTAAGGTGGAATAGTCCAGCTGTTACCAGAAATTTCACTGAACTTTGAGTAATTTTTTGCTGTAGATTTACTGGAAGTATATGGGAAAATAGGGAATAGATACCAGAGAAATAGCTGCAAGCCATGCAGCTGCATACTTGCTGATAATGTTATTAATGACTAAGTTGAAAAGTACCACAAAAATGTGTGGTCCCCTGCGCAGTCTTGGCTAGGTGCTGATTAATCTCAGTGGAGGGAACCGGAATGAGAACCACTATTGGTGGCTGAGTGAAATTAATTTCAAATACCTTTCCAATTAAAGCTAGGAAACGTTACCTACTCAAGGGACTCCTTTTGTTTTAATAGAGCAAATTAAAGACGGTAAGATGTATGATAAAATAAAATCATAAATGTTTTATAACTTTAATTAATGTTCCTAAATAAAACATACACTTTGTTAGCCGAGGGTTATGGATTTTAATTGAACAGTGATGTCAGTTTTTATCTGGGGTAATAGTGCCCTTATGCCCTAACATAAAACTGAAGTAAAGCCTACGGTACTGTAATCCACATGCACACTCTACTTTCTGTACAAATGTCA